AGCCAATTACGCAGCCACTGTGCCAATCCATCTTTTTGACAGTCTTCCTCTTTTTCACTGAATTTTATTAAATAGGATGTCTGTCTCCAGGAACTGGTCCCTTCTGATACATGACATGAAGTCTTGTCCTTGCTTCTAAGGAATATTTTGACCTACTTCACTTCTTCCAGGACAGATTTGGCATTCCGTGGTGTGTTCAGTGTTCGTCACCAACACTAATGCAGACCCTTCCTTTGTCAGTCTTCTCCATGGCCCAGCTTTCACATGGCTACGAGGCGACTGAACATACCATGGCTTGGGCCAGAAACACCTTGGTTTTCAAAGTGACATCGGTGCTTTTTGACAATTTTAAGGACTTTTGCAGCACATTTACCAAATACAGTAGTGAACCACATACATACACGCACAAAAAACCAAACTCACTGCCACTGTGTGGATGCCCACTCAAAGTGACCCTATAGGGCAAGGTAGAACTGCCCCTGTGAGATGCCAAGAAGGTAACTCTGTCGGACTAGAAAGCCCTGCCTTATAGTGAGTGAGCTGAATGGTTTGGGCTGAGGCTAACAGCAGAGTGATTATGCCCCTTTGGGCATTTATTAGCAGACTCAAAGAACTTTGTAACGTCCTAATAAAATAGCTATCCTGACCATTTCTCATTGGCACTAAAATGTGTTAACTTTCTCAGTGAATTCATAGATCATTACTTTTTCTGTGGATTCTGTATAGCCATTGCAATGGATATTATGGCCTAGAGAGGTGAAATAGGTAAAATTAATTAAGACAGCACACTAGTCATTTTATTCGGGATGAGTTAATTAAATGTTTGGCCAACTATTAAATGTTAGCCAGTGGTTCTCAACCTGTGGGTCATGACCCCTTTGGGGGGTTGAACAACCCTTTCACAGGGGTCACCCGATTCATAACAGTAGCAAATTACAGTTATGAAGTAGCAACGAAAATAGTTTTGTGGTTGAGGGGTCACCACAACATGAGGAACTGCATTAAAAGGTCACGGCATTTGGAAGTTTGAGAACCACTGTGTTAGACCAACCAAGCCTTAAACATTAGGCTAATTTTTAAGTTGTTGGTGACTTTGTGTGGTGTGCAAATGATGTTATACTTTGGAGCCTTGAAGTATTGGGCTTCTGCTTTCATTTAAACTAAAGCGGTTTTGGATAAAGGATAGTTAATACAATATATACTCGTATGTAAGCCGAGTTTTCCAACACATTTTTTAATGCAGTTTTTGTGGTAAAATTACAATAGGTGCTTTGGCTGATCTTCTGGCTGGCTTATACTCGAGTATATATGGCACCTCTTCATTATTCATAGATTCTGTATTTGTAAATTTACCTGGTCACGAAAACTTGATTGTAACCCCCAAATCAATGCTCTGACACTGCTATGATCCTTTGTGGACTTACAAGAAAGCACTTTGGTCTAGTATGAATTACTGTGCTTTAGCCATGATTCAAGGTTAATAAGTCAACAATTTATACTAAAAAGGTGTCTGTCTAAGAAACGGTTGATCAAAATGTGAGCAGAGGCTTGTAGGAACTTAACTCTAGTTCTCCTAGTGGTTCAGTGGTCAAAAATTCAGTGTTCGTGGCAACTTATACAATGCAACTACTTCAAATAATATGAATAGACTTTGATTATGATAAATATTACCTTTGGCTCCTAAATGACATAATTATGATTCTAAGACTAGGAGGTAGTAATGGGGTGACTCTAGGACCAGATGAGAGGGTAACAAAATATCTGTCTTATAAGACATGGTAATACGCGTTTTAACGTAAACAGTTGATATGAGATTCAACATCAGCACTAGAATAATATGATAAAAATATGTATCTATTTATATGAGTTTAGTATGAGTTACCATCATTTCCCACACATTGCTTTACTCGACCTTTACTAAAACCTCATGAGATAGCTCCGTTCAGTGTTAAATAGACTCTTAGCTACTAATTGATGAACTTGAGCATTAGAATTTGAACTTAAATACCCCAGCTTCAATGCTTGTTCTATTTTGCTTTGTGGTTGCGGAAGCTGGTGAGATGAAATTACACTTGAAATCTCTATCTTTGCTTTACATGGACCTGTAAAACATCGCCTAAGGACTTGGGACTAATTGTCATCGTTTTTATTAGTTTTCAAGTTCTTATACTTTGTCTTTATTATGCTTGTCATTTTTTTCTTCGTTCTACTGTCTCCTTTTTCAGATCTGTAAAGTTAGAACCTCTTTGTATTGTGCCTTTGATTCCTTGGCAGCAGCACACACTATAAATCTTACTAATAAATCTATAAATCTGAGAATCTGAGACCTAGGTTGTTTCAGTAACTGAATTGAGTACATCAGCATGCTGTAAGATTTGCTTATAATAAGTACATAGCAGCACATTTCTATTAAGACTGTTGATGTACTGTGAAATGGAAAAGCTTTCACTGTAGTTATCTAAGAAGTATTGCTTTGTTTCCGTATTCAGCCTAGAAATGTATTTTAGAAGAAAAAAAAAAAGACAGGAATACATTTAAGCACTCTTGTATGTAGAGGGTGCACTGTACTAAATGATGTAAGGTAGATGCAGACGAAATGGACAGCTATCCTTGGGGAATACAGACTAGTTGGAGAGATACAGTATGCCAGTTAAAAAGGCCTTATTGAGATGGTAGTAGTACAATTTCTGAAAACTTCCTGGAAAGTTCAAGCTTATAATAAGCTGGTGTCGTGGGTTCATCTATTCCCAGTTTCTTCCACCAAATTGTGCCTCTGTATCATTAAGGCTTTCGTCTGCTGGTGGTGTGGGATAAGCATTGAGCTACCAATCATAAGGTTAGCAATTCAACACCGCCAGTCTCTCTGCTGGAGAAAGATGAGGCTGTCTGCTTCTATAAGGACTTACTGTGTAGAAACTGGGAGTGGATGGACCTGGATTTTCGGCCCATCTCATTTACCCTTTTAAACTGGTAGGTAAGTTTTAAGTTGCTTAACGGCACTGAAGTTAGGTGCAATTTAAGCATGGTACTAGGTAATCTCCATAATTGCTTTTGTAAATTAGTAAAATTGAAGACCAGGTGGTGGACATGAAGGTTCAGTTTGCAACATACTAGCCAGTTTTTCTGTGTAAATGCATGTTTACAGGAATGTTTGATTAGTGTACTAAAAAGGATCTCAGTAGGGCAGCACAGTGGACTGGTTACCCATTGGGCTGCTAACACACCAGGTCAAGAGTTGAAAATCATCAGCTGCTCCCATTAAGAGTTAGGCTTGGAAACCCATTGTGGTAGTTACATAATCTCATGTCAATTTGCAAAGGGGTGGGGTCTAGCCTGTCAATCAGGTCGCAGCTTGATGACCTCACTTGGAGGCATGAAGGAGATAAATAGCTCACTGGAGGGGAAACAGGCTCTCTGCCTCGATTCTCTCTGCTTTGTCTTCCTGATGACAAGCCACATGGGGCTACATTGATGCAGCCAGAGCCCTGGAAGTGGAGGAGCCATGTGAGACCCACGTTAGTGCTGAGATGCTTCCACCACCACTGGATCCACATAACTTTCCACACACCAGCCTGTGATCTTCCTGAATTCAGCATCATTGCATGGCTGCATGAGTCTAAAGCAGTGGTTCTCAACCTTCCTAATGCTGTGACCCTTTGATACAGTTCTTTATGTGGTGGTGACCCCAACTATAAAATTATTTTCATTGTTACTTCATAACTGTCATTTTGCTACTGTTATGGATTGAGTGACCCCTGTGAAAGGGTCGTTCAACCCCCTAAAGGGGTTGTGACCCACAGGTTGAGAATCGGTGGTGTAAAGAGCAATTATGGACTTAGTATTGACATATGAGGTAATATCGGACATAGGGGCTAGATCTGGACTGGGCTGGGATGTTTTCTTAATGCACAATTGCTCTTTGATATAAAGTTCTCTGACACATATGAGTGTCTCTGGGTTTGTTTTTCTAGTCTACCTGGACTAACACTCAAAGAGGCAGTTCTGCCCTGTCCTGTAGGGTCACTATGAATCAGAATGGACTCTGGCAGTGAGGTTGAGGTTTGTTCAGTGGCACGGATGGATGGATGTATAGAGGAAAAGGAAAGTGGAAGAAAGAACCCTCCATTCAGCCAACCAAGTGATGCCAATCAGGAGACTTGGCCACAGGCCTTAATATGTATGCAGGCATGAGTGCCATGCCTCGCCATAGTCTGCTTTACTGACTGTCTTGTGAAAACTTCAGAATGATACCTATCTACAAAGTAAGGTCTCAGAAAGATGCTACCAATTGATAACCAGCTGAATTATAGAATATCTGCTGCTATTTCTGTATTTATCTATTTTCATGCTTGTTGTTTTTAGTTTTGTTTGTGTCTTTTAAAATATACTTCTTGTCAGAGAAGCATATGAGATATCAAAAGGTTCATGAAAAATATGGCAGTGAAGGATAATGGAATTTTTTCCACAAACTTTTTAAAGAGCCCTGTACATACTGAATTTAGTCTTGCGTTCCCCTCTGTCAATATCTGGCAAGACCAATGCCCATTCACTGGGGAGGTGATGGGGAGTGGGCACAGCTATGGACGGCTGCAGTCACTGGTTGCCTTTAGTGTCACATTGTTAATATTGGAAAATAGCATCTCCAGGGCATCTCACAGTTCAGGAGACATGCAGCCACTGTTTCCATACCTTGATTTTGTTGTATTTTAAAAAGATCAAAGAGAAGATGCAGGGAAAAAGTAACAAATTTAAAAGTACCTCGTTCTCTGCAGGTGGTCAGGTCTGGAAATATAAAGTTAGAGGGAACAGACATCTTTCTGACCTGGAGTGTGTCTATGGTTGTATGTACCAATCTGCTTAGTGATTCCCCAGGGAGTCTGGTCTGGAGGCTTCTCAGACTCTTCCCTGGGGCCCAGTGAGACTCTGCAGAGGCATCAGAGTTCCCCTAGTCAAGGCAATAAACTGTTGTTTTCTCATTTTACTATCTTTCCCGACTACAGGCTCTGACGAAATTCTTGAAATGCGTTAACTGGGATCTACCCCAGGAGGCCAAGCAGGCGCTGGAACTTCTAGGGAAGTGGAAGCCAATGGACGTAGAGGACTCTTTGGAGCTGTTATCTTCTCATTACACCAATACCACAGTGAGGCGGTATGCTGTTGCCCGGTTGCGACAGGCAGATGATGAGGTATACTACAATGTATTACTCCTTTTAAATTGAAGCCACTCTGAGTGTGTGTGTGTGTGTGTGTGAGAGAGAGAGAGAGAGAAATTGAGAGGTCTATGTTATTTAGTGCTTCTATAGCAAATAAGAGAAGTGTTGGTTTTAGCAAACAGATTAATTTTCTCACACTTCAGAGGGTGGACATCTGAATTCAGAGCGTCACCTCTAGGGGCGGGCTTTCTCTTTTGTAGGCGTGGCTCTTTTGTAGATCCTTGGCTCTAGCTTTTGTTTCTGCTTTCTGGTTATTTGGAGATCTCCATGTGTCTTCGCATCTATTTTACTTCATCTCCCCTCTGCATGATTATTTAATCTTTTATATCACAAAAAGCGATTGACTCAAGTTATACCAGGCATGAATCTTACCTCATTAACATAATAAAGACAGCCCATTCCCAAATGGGATTATAACCACAGACATAGAGGTTAGGATTTACAGCACCTATTTGGGGGTGGGCATAATTTTAGTCCATAACAAGAGAGAGTCAGAGGGACATATAGAAAGACTTTTAGAAGGTAGAAGGATATAGTAGATGTATTTTCAGAAGTAAAATTAAAATATTACCCCAAGGACTCATCTGTGAAATGAAAATTTACTTCCTGATCTCTTACGTGATAGGACAATCTCTCCCAGGACATTTACCTGGCAGCTGAGCATGTATTGCTCTGTCTGGAAAAAGGAGTTCTAATGAAAAATGGTTTAATGCAGCTCTGGCAAGGGAATAATTCAGATCCCCTCTATCAGTCAATACAAAACAAGCCACATTTAATTGTAGCCTTGAAAAGCCCTTGGGGCCTTTAAAGCATAGAGATGCATGGTCATCCTTCTGGCTTTAAAAACCCCTACTTTAAACTTTCTGCTGACAATTATGTACACATGTAGATTATCTGCAAGTTTTGAATTCTCTGGAAAGCAAAGACACTGCAAACTTTATCCTGGCTCTTTATATACCTGCAAGGCCCCCAGGGAAAGAAGAACATCTCCGTGTTGACACAAAGCATTACTGCATTTTGAATTTTAATAAGTTCTAATGAGATAGATTAATCCAGCAATTTTGTTCCCTTATCAATTTTTATAGGGTGAATGTTTATGAAAATATAACCTAATAATTTGTGATAGCCTCTAGGGCTTTTGGGATATAATTTAATTGTGGAAATTATTCTTTATAAGCTTAGGATGTATGTGCGTGTGTGTGTGTGTGTGTGTGTGTGTGTATGTGTATAAACAATTAAAGGGACTCATTTTAACAACTGAAAGAATTTTAAGATGAATGGTTCTTTATGAACTTTTAAGAAGCTAAATGCATATTTATTAATGTCATTAGGTATAGTTGCATATTTAATTATGGTAAAATTCAATAGTAAATAATAAGGTAAACACAATACATACCCATCTGTAGCGGTTGTCAACTCCAATTTCATCTGTAATGGTCCTTATGCCCACTCCCCTAATCTCATTAGATTATTTTGAAGCAAATCTCACATATAATTTTATATGAATTGGATTTTTCATTACCTTTAAAAAATGCATTTCATTTGTTCCATTGTCTGTACTGTATCTTAAGTACAATACTGTACATGTAATGTAATATTAATTAGTACAATAAATTAATTAAAATTTTCACTTAAATTATTCTCTATCCATGCTTGCTATAAATCATCATAGTATTTAGATAAAAACTTCTGTATGTAGTAGCTTTAGCTCCAGGAAAGAGGTCTAAAATTTAACATAGAAAAATAAACCATCATTTATCAACTGTCCTACCCATTTATTCTCTTATTTCTGTTTGTTAATATTAATTTGTTAATCTTAAATATGTCAAGAAATTTCCTAACTTTGAAATAGTGAAACCCAAACTTGTCCAAGTCCCCTGTCCATGGAGTATTGCGACTCCTGCAGAGCTTGTGCAGTGTTTGGGGGAACGTCAGCTTGGTGAAGCAGAAGCAAGCAGTGTCACATTTTCCCTGTGGAACGAACGACCCGAGGTTTGAACTACAGACCCTCAGGATAGCAGCCCAACTCATAATCCACCGAGCCACCCCCATGGCACCCGGCTTCTCCTCTTGCACTAAATTAGACTAAATAAGCATTGAATACACTTGTGGTGACTCACCTTCACTTAAATACACAGGAATGAAAGCCATTCACAATCCAGAGTCTGTCTGTCATGGTGAATTAAGAATGCTTCAATATGTGTCCCACCTGTTCCAGTCCAATATTATTTATATTTAGGAAGTTCTCATTCTTGTTTTCTCTGTCTCTGTCTCTCGTTCTCTCTCTCTCTCTCTGTGTGTGTGTGTTTGTGTAGAATGGCTTTTACATATCATTGCTCTTTTGATGCCCCTTCATAGCATGTAGTCTCTCACCTTTAATTTGCTGATCTACTGAAATGTGCTGATAAATTTCCTAATTTAGCCAACACATACGATTGTAAAATAAATGCAACTCATTTTTTAACATTTTTCTGCATGCAATTTGTTGATATTTATTTTGGAAATTAAAAACAAAACAAAACAATGGTATTACTGCTTTCTGGTTCCAGAAAGAGCAAATTTCATTGGCATAGAAAGAAGAGATGGCATTTAAGATGGACTTGGAAGGAAGGGTGGAATTTTTACACACATCTCTGCATGTACTTCCAAGTGGAGCTAGCAATATGAGGCATTCTCCCTGTGAAGGCAGGGAGAATGGAAAATACAGGAGGGATGAGCACATGTCAGTTGGCAAGAGTGGAGGTGTTGGAGAGGCAAGCTCAGAACCCATGTCTTTTGGATTATAAATGCCTATGTTAAGAGTTACTCTTCATTTATTAAGAAATGATAAGCCTGCATGATTTGGGCATGGCTTTTGTACTCTGAAACATCAGAATTGCCTTATTCTTGAGGAAAAATAGTGATCACTATCAACATAAAATTTCATAGCTCTTAGAAATTTTTACTCTCTTACTCTCTTTTTACTGAATTGTCTGAGATGTAAACCTGGATTTTATTTCTTTTTGTTTTATTCATATGCTTATGTCCTTCATGCTTGGAGGAACTTTATATTTTTTCATACTGTGACTGTATAATGAGAAAACAGACTTTGTACGTACTATTGAAGTTCATTCATTTTCATACAAATGAAGTAAAGCATAGTTTGAATACAGAATACCAAGTGACCAACAAATAAGGTAGTGATGAGTGACTTAAAAAGAGTCAAGATGTCTTCTGAATTTCCCCGTTCTGGGAAATTTAATAACATTGCAGCCTTTTTGAATTCATGTGCTAAGACATTTCTGTAATTGGGAAAACACAACAGGTGATATGTTCAGCAGCATTTCTGAAGCATGCCTCAGTAATGAAGGCTGGTCGTGAGACTGAATTACTTATCCCTCCCCAGAAGGGAGTCCCTTGTCGTTAAATAAATGGATCACAGGCTTGTTGTGCACCACTTTTTGTTCCTTACCTGTAATTATATTTATCGTTAGTGGATGCCATAAGTCTCAAAAATGAGGGTAGAAAATCAGATGTTTTAGAGAGCTAATGTTTTAAATTCTTCCTCTAATGAAAGAAAGGGGTTTTAGAAGCAGAATATTTTAGAGGTGGTTCTGTGGTAGGAAGTCACTTGATTTTCCTGGCTTCTGACCTTGATATATTTGCATAAGAATTAACTAACTTATCAAAATTCCTTAATTTTTATGCAAAAGAGCTCAGACTTAATGGGGAAATCATGTGCATTACTGTTTGTCAGTATTTGTCTGATATTTTTGTACTTATATCAGTGAAAAATACAAAAATGTAGTATTATGCAAGGGAAAAGAGATTGTTAAATGGACTTTGTCTTTGTGAAGTTTATAATACTGACACTCTTCATTTCTCAACTATCTCATTACCTGACGCTCTCCATTGATGACCATAGTGACACCCTAGTGTCCATTAAAGGCGGAGGCCCAGTGTTAATGAAAGCCATGCTGGGAGGTGAGCATGACACTGGCTATGACGGTTACGTGTCCACATGGCTGCAACATGCCCGGTTTTCAGTGGTTTGGCAGTTATCTACTGGTCTATTGTCTTCCTTTTTGTGATGTGTGTCGTCCTCCATTTTCACATAAAGACCCTTTCTTTGGGACATAATCCTGTCAACAAATGAGAAGCAGGTGTGTGGTGGGAAATACAGAGGAAGCAATGACAAGTGCAATAGTTATTGCTCCCCAAGCTCCAAATCACTGCCATCAAGTCAATGCTGGCTCATAGCAACCTCATAGGGCAGGATCGAACTGCCCCTGCGACTTTCTGAAATTTTGTTACTAGTGGGAAAGAAGTGTGAACTATGAAGTGTCTACAGGAATTTAACCTGGTTTAGGAGCCTATGGAGGAGACTACAGGTTCATTGGTAGTGTCTGCATGCTCTGAATAGGAGATTTGAGGTCATTAGGTGAGTGGTGGTTAATCAATAAAGTAAAACAGGACATATTTGCATTCTAAAAGTTTTCTCAAATCATCTGAAATCTTGAGTTTTCAGGAAAAACTGATTTTAAAATTTCTGATTGGAAAGGATTAGGTAAACCTCAATATAAAGCACAATTAGGAGAATTAAGTCTTTCTTAACTTTTTTAGTTAAGAAGGAACCATCGTTATTGTTTTGGGTTTTTGTCCTTTTCTTCCCTTTAGGGATGCTACTGTAAAAAGTCATGTTACCCACTACCATCAAGCCTCTAAGTACTATCCTATGACTTTCTACTGCTAAACTGGTTTAATCTTTCTCATTTCTCCCTAAAATACACATTAAGTAGTCCAGTAACTGCCACGGAGTCCATGCTAATAAGTGATAGTTAAATATACGTGTTATATTGTGTATATGGTAGTTAACTATACATATTGTATTGCTATTTAGGACTAAATTCTGTCTATAATTGTACTGCATTTTCTCCCCTAATATTAGCCGTGCTTGTTTTCCAGGACTTGTTGATGTACTTACTGCAGCTGGTCCAGGCCCTAAAATACGAAAATTTTGGTGACATAAAGAATGGATTAGAACCTACCAAGAAAGATAGTCAGGGTTCCACATCAGAGAGGGTGTCAAGTTCTGGAATAAATTCTGCAGAAGTAGAAAGGTATGAATTTTCAGGAATGTCGGCATATTTTAAAATCTGTTAGTTTTCCCTCATTTTAAGTTGTCTCTTCTCCCCTTTCCTCAATGTATCAAGCCTTAGCATAGCTATTTTTGAAATACTGCCAATGAACATACCATGTGATTCACAAAGCACAAATTACAGTTTTAATATGTTGCAAATTAAGGAGTGAGATGCCTGCCTTACAAATCTGACTCTGCCACTGCCTGATGGCATAAGCCTGTGTCGGTTATATATTGTTTCTGTGCCCAAGGCTTCCTGTCTGAAAATGCAGGACAGCAACAGTAACTGATCTTTACGGGTGGTTTGAATGAATAATTTTGAGTTCAGTGTAAGCTTTAGCTATTATTACTATCACATGTTAAAATGAAAGAAAGGAAATATTATGGAGCTAGCATATCATAATGAAAAGGTCTATTTTTATAGATTGCTTTGACTGCTTTAGTAGTTTTATTAGGTGGGAAAAGTGCCTTGCTTGAATTGAAAGTGTGCTACTTAACAGTAACAATAATTTTAGAATGGAGCAACTCTGTATGACAGACTTAGGTAAGTTATTTTTAAAAGCAACTCCTCATGTTTTCTTCCACTGCACATAGGTCTATGTACATATATTTATATGTTAAATATTAAGGTAGCAGGAGTACACTGGACCTCTACGCAAGTACTTCCTTAATGCAAGAACACTTTGTTTTAATCACCCGGCATTCTGTGATGCTCACCTTCCCGACATGATTACTGAAGACAAAATGGTGCATAAGCAAATGTGGCAAAGAAAACTGATGATGCCTGGCTACCAAAAGATATAGCATCTGGGGTCTTAAAGGCTTGAAGATAAACAAGTGGGCATCTAGCCGAGAAGCAACAAAGTCCACATGGAAGAAGCACACCAGCCTGTGTGATCATGAGGTGTCACTGGGATCAGGTATCAGGCATCAAAGACCCAGAACAAAAAAGCGTATCAATGAAGGGGAGTGTGGAGTGAAGACCCAAAACCCATCTGTAGACAATTGGACATCCTCTTTACAGAAGGGTCACAAGGAAGAGACAAGTTAGTCAGGACGCAGTATAGTACTGATGAAACAGCTTTCCTTTAGTTTGTTAAGGCTTCCTCCTTCCCACTATCATGACCCCAGTTCTACCTTACAAATCCGACTTATCTGGTACAGATAAAAGCTCACAACATGGGGAATCCAGGACAGATAAACCCCTCAGGAACAATAATGAGAGTACTGATACAAGTAGGGTAAGGGGAAGGCTGGAGAGGGTGTTGGGGGAGGGGGGAGAAAGGGGGAACTGATCACAATGACCTATATATAACCCCCTCCCAGGGGGACAGACAACATAAAAGTGGGTGAAGGGAGACAGTGGTCATGAAAAAAAATTATAAATTATCAAGGCTTCATGAGGGAGAGAGGGTGGCTGAGAGGGAAAATAAGCTGATACCAAGGATTCCAGTAGAAAGAAAACATTTTGAAGATGATGGCAACATATGTACAAGTGTACTGGACATGATGTATGTGTGAATTGTGTTAAGAGCTGTATGCGTCTCCAATAAAATTATATATATGTGTATATATATATATCTATCTCAAGCCAAACAGTCTCTCTGACCATAGAGTTGATACTGACTCATAATGACTTTGAGATAACATAGAACTTTCATTGAATTTCCGAGGCTAACTCTTTATGAAGCTGCCCACCTCATTGGTCTCCCTAGAAGAGACTGGTGGATTAGAACTGCCAATCTTTTGGTTAGCAGGCAAGCACTTAACCACTATGCTACCATAGTTCCTGTACTGGAGATTGGAGGCCGTTTTCTCTGTTGTTGTACTGTAGGTGCTCTTTAGTACAACAGTACGAAATACTGCCCAGTCTTGCGTCACCCTTGCAGTTATGTCCCCAGTACCTGGGCTGAAGTCTTGACTTCCTTGCTTCTAAGGAGCATTCAGTCTCTAGGTCTGCTTATTTGTCCCATTTCTCATTTATGATGCCTAGAAAGCTTCATTAATTAAAGTCCAATTTTGATTTATGACCAGATAAAAACAGTAACTGTATTTCCCATATTATTGTATACTGGTCATTAAAGCTATGGTAGGAGACCTGGTGGCATAGTGGTTGCGCATCAGACTGTGAATTGCAAGGTCAGCACTTTGAAACCACAAGCCAGCTCCAAGGGAGGAAGACATGGTTTTCTGCTCCTGTAAAGAGTTTGTCTCCTAATGTCACTGCATTGTCCTATTGGGGTCACTCTCAGTCATTGTCGACTCTATGGCAGTGAGGTAGAATGCTGTTGTGCCAGTAGTTTTGTGGTTAAATATTGAGAAAACTGGTTTAAAGTTTGGTGGTGGTGGTGGAGTTGGTTTTTACCAACGTCTTCCGTAGTACTTTTACTGTACCTGCTGCAGGTACAGTTCCAAGAGGCTGTTGCTCTTTGACCCTGGGTCCATTTTTCCTGGAGTATAATATAATTTTAGAGTTTCAGAGAATACACTAGAAAGTTGCTTTGAAAATATATAATTTAAATGCATATTCTGCTTTCACTGACAAAATATTTTATACCTCACTGATATATCATGTTACTTTTTCAGCTCCCAAATTATAACCAGCCCTCTTCCTCCAGTGTCTTCTCCTCCTCCTGCATCTAAAACAAAAGAAGGTTCAGATGGTGAAAATCTGGAGGTAAGTAGAAAGATTTTCTAGCTTCCTAGAGGCAAAATCCTGCCAGATAAACATTTGATATTGGCTTTTAAAACATTGATTTTGATTAATAAACTAAATAGTACAAACTTTATTAAATAACTTGTTTTATGATGCATGTTTATGATTTTCTCCCTCTGCATAAAGTACCAGATAATCTTCAATC